GTGAACCAGGATTGTTGTGAGGGGGGAAAAAAGGCTGTTGGCACACCAAGTGAAGTAAACATGGGAAGTTTTAGGACTAATACCCATTGATTCCTTTTGCTGAACTAATTTATTAATCCTTAAACTAATATATTGATCTCTTTTGCTAAATCATCCTGCATCGATGTTTTGTACTAGAATGGCATTTCGTAGGAATTGAAAATGCTTGAAATCGATGTTGTTCAGCTGCCTGAAGAAGTGATCTCTGCTGTGTGCATTATGACCTCTGCTTTTACGTCACCCACTCTCTTCCATTTCCTCCCAGTCAATCTTGTTGTTTCAAATTCAGAAAGAATTTTGTGTGCATGTGTATAGGAAGTATGTTAGAAGTCTTAAAGTTACAACTGACCATATTTTAAAACAAATCCAAACAACTCTATATAGTGTCCTTTTTCTGCTGCTTTGCTTCTTGCTATGTTGTGATCTGCAGTAGATGTAAGAGAAAGGAGTCTCAAAAGAATTACATTGAAGACATAAACCTACTTTATCTTATTTAATGCATTGAAATTTTTACTCAGTATTTTAGGGGAGGAATGCATTTATATTTAGAGCTTACAGATTTTTCTCAACTTCATTCCTGTTTTTATTCCTAAGAAGTTATAAATGCATTATATGTTGCACTATTATATATTGCATTTGTAATTTCTTAGGAACAAAAATAATAAATATTTTGGTCCATATAGGAACTTAGTTTTCCCTTGAGTTTAGCTTTATTTATACTGTGGAATAATTCAGTCTTGCTATCCTTATTTGAACAACTGTGTCTACTGGTATGAATGCCTAGTTATAGAAGGCCAGAAGCAAGAGAATAATTGCTTAATGTACTATTGTGTTTTTCAAATAGGACTAAAAGGTCTTGCAAAATTGTCTGAGGAGGTTCTTTTCATGTATCAAACTAATTAAAATTTTTTTGTACACTTTAATTTTAGGTTTATGGAATTGTATATATTTTGGGCTGAAATCTCAGAATTGAGGGGCATAAATGTATAAAGAATTTTTTTTTTTTAAAAAAAAAAAAAGCTTTGGAAATGTGTATAAATATCTACATATGGTTGAAATAGCTTGTTTGACGTGCCGTTGATTTATTATACAAGACATAATTCTGTAAAACATCAGGATATTTGTTATCTGAATGAAAAATCTGAAAATTGTTTTTAAAAATCAATGATTTTTCTCTTCAATGTAATGTTGAAACATGGAACTTGAGAAAGGGGTATCATTCTGCTTCTTTGCCTTCAAAAAACTCTTTAAACTCAAGAATAGTAATTTTTCTTATATTCTTGTTGAACAAAATTAGTGTTTTTTTTTTGTCTTCTACTGTGGAAGTGAACTTTCTCTTAATGTTGAAATAGCCATTGCTTGTATTTATTTGTAAAATGTTAATAGTCTATTAGCTGTAGATCTTGAAGTTGAGAAAATATGCAATCACAATCTGACAGAACCTTCAAGGAATACTCATCTTCAAAATGAAACAACAAAAGAAGCTCTGCTAAAATATTTTGGGATTCTTGAAGAAAGTAAGGTGTATTAAACTTCCAGCAGTTCAATTTGTGGTGATCATTGAATTGCATCCCTATGCTGAAGAATTTCATGAGTTGTAGAACTCCTTAAAATCACTTTCTAAGGTGTTGTAATTTATATTTTTTCATTTGAGTAATTCCTGAACTTTAGGAATTCAGGACATAAGTAGAGTTATTAAAAAAAACCCTATCACTTGACCACACTCAAAATTCACTTTAATTCATAACCTTATGAAGATTTTATGAACATTCAAACAAAATGGTGGCAAAACTCTTTGTTTGTTTTAGTAAGGTTTGCATTTATTTTCCATGGGATTATTGCTGTCTGTATTGTTCTTAAGCACACGTTTCTTTTCATTTTGATCTCATGAACTCAGCAAAACTGCTTATGACTTGGTTTTCTTATTTTATACCATGCTATAGGGTTGTAATAGATGAAGCTGAATACTCAGGCTCTTTTAAATTTTAATACAACTTTCTTGCTTTATTACAATTACTGTTTCCCTGTCTGGGAACCATTTTTTTATGATTTCAAAAATTATGTTTTAAAAATGGGACTTATTTTAATATTATTGGTTAGGTTATTTTTGTGCTGCTTGTAATTAGGCAGAGGCAAAATTACAGAACATAATGGGAAATCAGCAGCAGACAGTATGCCGGGGTTGAAAACCTATTGAAAGACATTTCTATAGATGTATGGATTTTGAAGCTGGAAACTGATCAGGAATTGAAAATAAAACTCTGTTCTCCCTCCATAATCCAACTGAGTGCTGGATGACTGACTGGCATTGCAGTGATGCCCTTCCAATATCTGTGTTCTGCGGTTTTTTGAGCCTATGCTGGGACTGAAAGTAAGCTCTTCCACCACACAGTGACTGAAAGCTGCCAATGATTTTACTGCTAATATGCAATAAAAAAGCCCCAGACTGCTGTGGATCAGTACTTTCAGTGCAGGTTGTAGTGTTCTACTTCCTGAAAAGTGTTATCCATTAACTCACATACTTTGACAGCTGTGGCTAAGATATTTGAAAGAAATATCCTACTTCAAACATTTTTCTTACAGTTAAGATGTACTTTTACTTTAATTCTCAAATCTTGTTTTGTTATACTTATGAGTATCAGTCAGCCTTTCCTGTTTTAGTACTGATCATATACTTTTGAAAGTTCTTTAAAATACCATCGTATAATGGTGATGCATTGATTTTACAGTGAGATCTTCATTATTGTGTTTATTTCCAGTTTCTGTCTACTGCAAAAAGTGAAGCATTAAAAGAAGAAAATCCGATTATTTGACATCCAAGATAATTTTCTACCTGCACACTCTTTTCATCCTTTTTTCCCTCCTTGCCCCCTGGGTCATTTGAAATGTAAACTAGAGTTACTGAGAAGGGTTAGGAACTGGAAGTGAAGAATAACATTGTTCAAGAAAATTGACTCTGAAATAATTGGAAGCCCTAATAGATCTTCTCCCTGTTGTATTCCATGGTAGACACTATTGTGAGTTGCGTCTTGGTATAATATTTCTTAAAAATCAATGGTAAGATCATTCTTTGTTTTTGGACAGCTTCTGAAGGGCATGACATGAAAGTATGGCAGTGAGATGACTTTGAACCTTTCCATTTCAGTGGTGGGTTTTTATTCTGTGGGGTTCACCAAAAAAGGATAAATTAATCTGAGTTCTGCTCTAATTTAAGCTTCCAATGGACCTGAGAGGTTATTTTTGTCAGGAAGACTTTCTAACATTTAGGGACAGCCGTGCTCCACCTTTCTTTTTTTCCCAGCTGATAGCAATGAGGTTATTAGCTTTATTTATATTCATTTTATACCAAATTCTGAATGAGACAAGACCTTTAGACCAACTTTTTTTAATGTACTAGTAGATATCATCCATGGTCTTTCACAAATATTCCTTTTGCTATTTTCTTCTACTTTGGTCTATTTAAAGGGGACAAAGGTAATTCCTTTTTCATTAACATTCAAATGTTTGGTTTTTTGTTTTTTTTTTTTTAATGTCCTTTGGCATCAGTGTAATTTGAGTCTACTGTTGGCTATTACCTAGGACATTGGGCTAAAGAATGGTGGTTTCAACAACTACTGGAATGAAGTTGTTGTCATTTACTGACAAACTTTTCAGAAATTCACTTCCTATTTAAATAGCAAGGTTTAAAACTAAGTCTGCTAGTAATTTTTTGAGAACCAGCAATTTTGTTTTCTAACGGGCAGAATCTCAAAGTCCTAGCTTGTTGTGGAAGGGCACAGTGAACTGAATGAAGTGGTTTGCTTTCCACATAATCCCTGCTCATTTCTTTTAAAATTATATGGCTGCATCTTGAGATATGTTATGAAGTTTCTACTTGTCATGGATCATTTTGCCTGTATGAGTCTTTGAGTCTGACTCAATAGCATCTGCTGTGGAAGTGCACGTTTAGCAGAGGTGTGATTGAATTCTTCTATACAGTAATCACTGTTCCCCATTGACGTTCACTGATGCTTACTGAACATTTCTGGATAGCAAACAGCAGATGACAACACAGCGAGGCAGCGGTGGTGCCTTTCAGCAGTGGCAACAGCCACTGAGGCTCATCTCCACTGGTACAGACCTCTATGAGTGAGGCATGCAGGCTCTCATTCATTGGTGGCTTAAATGCATAGCTGAAATGGTGGTGACTGAACTGAAACATGGTGTTTTGTAGCTGAGAACTTGCTCATAGTGTTGTTGTACTCTTTGTATCTATTGTAGTTTCCACGGAGATAAATAGGAAGTGTTACTTTCAGAGTGACCTCCTATAATTCTGTTGTCATCATGTTGCTTGTGACAGAGATACGCATCTGCTTTATTCACAGACATAAAGCTTTTGGAATTTTTATTTATTTATTTTTGAGAATATTCTGCTTTCTTCTGAATAGACTTTGAAATTCAGGAAAACAGAAGTAAATTCTTTTGGGTAACCGCTCCTGAATTCTTTGAAGGGAAGTAATTGCAAGTGTGTCGTATATTAATATATGTTAAACCCAAGAAGTTAGTTAATGTAGCATGCTTCAAATAACAACACACAGCTTGTTTGTAATTTCACCTTGTATGCTGTGAATCTCTTAAATTAGTTGATGATGCACGGTGACTGTTTCATAGTCTGTACAGTGTTGTATTTCTGAATTTTGATTATTTTTTGCCTTTTAAAAATACTAATTTACTTACTGTACCACTCACTTGAATTGCATCAATGAAGCAGATCTAGAAGTAATTTCCAAAGCAGCATTATGTTGCTGTTTCTATTTGATAGCTGAAAGGGGAGCTCATTTTTGTTGGAAGCTAATCGAAGACTGAGGTTTGAGGTCATAGATTTTGGCAACTCTTATTCTACTATTCTCCTCCTATGTGTTTAGTATATTAAATAAGTATTCACTTCCTCTCTTCTAAAATAAATCTTTGTATTTTTACAGCCTTGTGGAAGAAAACCATCTTTTTCCAGTTCTTTTCCAAGTCATCTCGGTAAGAATTTTTATGTATACGTACACTAATAGGTATATATCATATCTCCAATCATGTCAAAATAGCAAGCTAAATAAGGAATATTTGTAAGCTGTTGATAGTGAACAGTCTATTAATTCAAAGAATCTACTAAACGTAAGCATGTATGTGGTTCTCGCTGGCTATTTGTATAAAGCCTTTCTTTCATACAGTAAAAATCCCATTTTTTTTGTTTTCTATCCAAATAAAATTCTGAAAAATGGAATGAGCTTTATTCTTAAATAAAGCTATGTATTTTCAACCCGAGCAACTAACAATGAGCAACTTGTGTTTTATTTAGTAGAATCAAACCAGAGTTTGGTTACGATAAGGCAAACTACGGCTGTTCTCTTTTAGAATTTCTTCCAGTATCAAGTGTTGATGATATGATTTTCATAGTAACATACTGGATTTCTATCCAAAACCAGAACGCACTGCTTATGATAAGTGATCAGGAAAAAATTGATGATGTTTTTGCACCTCTGAAATGTGGCAAAACTATTCTATTAAGAAAAAGGAAATCTGTGGGATAGTTTAGAAGCTGGGTCCTGTGCTATAGTTTCCTCACTGATAATTTCCAGACTCTTGTTTATTTTTTCAAGCCTGTTTGCTCATGAACCTGTCAGGTAAATGTTCTGTAGTGTAAGCCTGTTCCTGATGAATACAAAATGTGAATGATGTATGCAGTGCACGTGAATTATTCTTCCTATTGCATCATTTTTAAAATTCAGCCATATTCAGGGTAGAAGGTGTTCATAAACGTGATTCTGAACCAAATTTGAATTTCCATTTTTAGCTTTAAACATTTCAGTTTTCTCTTTTCCTTTGCAGTGATTTTTTTTTAATTACATGTCATCTTAAATCTGATGACTCCTTTTTTTATTTAACATAACTTCTTGGGCAATGACATATATGAGATTTTGTATACGTACATGTACGAATCTGAGCTCTTCTGATGAGCATTCAGAACAAAAGCAACTCTTCAGTGTTTCATAAATAGACTTAACCTGAGATAAGTACTGCTTATAGGTAACAACAAGGGAGGAACACAGTAAAATATGAAACTTCACTTAGTGTTGGTATCATGAGGATTAACTGCCGAAAAAGTACATGTATACTTATGTTTTTTGGGAGGGTTCATGTGAGGATGTGTTGAATAGAAATTTAGGTGATTTCTAGAAATTCTACTGGATTTTAAAAATTCTTCTCCAACCTGTTCTTTGTAACCACAATGAGTTAGCAAGCCCATCATTATAGGTTTCTGAAATCGTTTTCATGGTTGTATGGGTGAAAGGAGCTGCGTATCGTTTGCTTTTCAGTGCTAGTCCATAATCTAGTTTTTTCTTAGGTTTATACTTCTATTTGTTTCATCAACTAGGGTACATCAGTAATGTTGAGGTTTCTTTTGTTGTTCAGGTTCTTATCAAATTCTAGGTACTATTCATTTTAAATTATACTTTCTACTCAGTGCACTTTGTATGTACGCTCTCAGTAAATAAAGTATAGCTATCCACTATCAAGTTCAGAAGTATCACTTTTTTCATAATTTTCTATGCAGAAACCAAATGTCCAGTGTGTTTTCCCTGTATCATGAAGTGCAGTTCACATTACTACTGACGATGCAACTGACCTTGCAGTGACTCTTCTAGGATGTGAAAGGAAATAGGATGGGCTCTGAATTGCAAAGTGTCTGTAGGTGCACTCTGTGTTTCTGGGCTGTGTGGTATCTTTACTCCAGCTCACAGAGCAGCACAAACATGGTGGCTTGCAGACACAATTCACAGGAAGTATGTTTTAGCATGACTGCCTCTCACTGTTCATTGATGTCGAGTTGCCCTACTACATACTGCTTATCCTGGATTGTGATTTAACACCTAAGACTGAGTTCTGACAATTTCTCATCCTGTAGCAGGTATCTGGACCAATTCACTCTCAAAACTCCTCTTAATTGCACCAAGTGTACCAAATTACACCAAAGTTCATGCCCTTTGCCTCTTCATGCCTCTGTAAATGTTACAGTTGCAAAAAAAGCAATCTCCAGCACTCATTAATCATTTTAATTACATTTAGTAAATGTAGATTGATAGTGTTCTTTGTCAGTGTGTGAAAGACCTGTTTACAGCTCTTTGTTGCAAAACTTCAGAGGGGAATTTCACATTGCACCTGAATGCAAAATAATTTTATCGGCGCCCTCGTTCTAGATCCCAGCACTAGCTGTTGTGTTGATTAGGAGTATTTCTACAAAGCAATATGAAGGTATGGCTGCAGTATGGGTGAGCATTTGTCTTGCTGTCATGTCTAATGCAGTCGTTGAAGGTGTAGTGATGTGTATTGGTGTAAGTATTCATATCCACAGAAAGGAAGATGGATTAACAGTAAGCAGGAGTGTATTCAGAACAGTATGGGACTGAAAAACATACGGAAATTTGGCAGTGTAATGTGCATAATTTAAATGGTGCAAACTCCCCTTAGTAACAAGATTAAAAATAGAAGCAAATTGTGCAATGACGTAAATGATACCAAAAGCTGGACTGATGCAAGATATAAATAGAAAATACTAGTGTTGATTAAATCGATGGGATTGCAGCAGAAGTTGCTGTGGAATATATGTTATACTTTCTTATTACCTTTTTCTGCTGTACCCTTAGTATTCCACTTCTGATACTTTCTGTTTCACTGTGTCAAACCTGTGATCATCTGAAATATTAGTATATTATACACAAAATATTATTTTTGAATATCAATGTACTGTTACATGGAGCTGGTTGATAAAATTGGAAATGCTCTTCTGTCAAATTTGTAGCTTATGTGTGTTTATATTTTAGGCTGCTAGCCTAAAAGTAGCTGAAACTAAAGTTGACATCAATATTATTTTCTGTGCTATATTGCTTTTCTGAGTGGATCTTATCTGCTGAACTTTTCACACATCATAAATGTTATATAGCTTTTCTTTAGGGCTATCTGAATCTAAGCTGTTGCCTAAAAAAGAAATTCTGTCTAGCTGGTGAAATGCTATTTTTCTGCTGATAAGTTAAAAAGCTGAAGGAAATGGTGCTTGTGATTGGAAGCTCAGTGGTATCCTCTTCTTAAAGCCTAATAGTCCATTCTCTGCTCATGCTACTAAAATTTCCTGTGTATTAACATGCCAGCATCTCACAGACTTCAGCTTCTGTTGTCAAAAGATGATTTTTTTTTTTTCCAAGTCCTGTACTTTAAAGGTCAGTGATACCATGAAAAATGTGACAATTTGGATTTAAGGGCTCTTCCTTTTAATGCAAATTACTTGCTACTAAGATTGGAAGTAACTGCACTTCTAAATGGTATTTTATTATTAAATACCATTATGAAGGTTATGCCTTTGGTATCAAAAACTTCAGCAGTACATGATACTAGCAGGTCCATATTTTGATCAGGAATTTGCTTTCTACATTTTTTTTTTTTTTTTTTGGAAATAATTAAACCTGTGCTCAAACACAAAAAAAATGCTTCAAAGCCATTGTTATTCTGACAGATGATGATCCTCTTGGAAGGTGTACTTAGCTCTCTTTTCTGTAATCTCAATTTAAAATTGAGTTCGTTATTCCAAAGAAGGGAGCGTGAGCTAGGCATGATAATAGGAAAAAATATGTTAAAGTTAGCTGGATATATTCATACTTCAAACAAAAGAGCCCAGTTTTATTTGGGTAACACCTTTTCAAGAAAGCAAATCATATTGTGGTGGACTTGTCTGAATAAGGATATATGTAGCACATCTGCTGTAAATGAACTTCAGGCTGACGTTCTTTAAACTGTGTGCTTGTGAGGAATGACTGATAGTGGTGCTATAACGCATCTGTGGACAGGTTGCTCCAGTTTGCAGTCATACGCAGTAATTTAGCTTCAGCCTCCTATGAAAAACCAAACCTGAATGGTTAGGCAGCATCCACTTTAAAGAACAGGAAATGGCACTTATTTTATTAGCTTTTTTTCAGGTATTCCTGTTTCTGGTTGTGCATTCAATGCTGTACAAGAAATTGTGAAATTCGGTGGCTCATTCTGGTGTAGTTTCTCTGTTTGTTTCTGCTTGTATGGAATATCTGCATTTATAAGGCATCTGAAGTGAGATTCTAAGAGTGATTTTTGAGGTTTCTAGTGACAAGTAGTGTTTTTGCATGCGGATAAGCAATAAAAAGGTCAGTAAGTTTTCCTTTGTATAGGCATTTGGCTGTTAACATTAGCAAGAGCAAGATTTTTGGCTTCTAAGTATAATTGTAACTGATGATAGACTATCAATATGTTTACTATAACCAAGAAGCTTAAGACTTCTCTATGCTGCAGTGTGTAGCAACAATTCAGAAAGGCACTCCCACCTCACTTTGGACTAGCAGTTTACAGCAGCCATGTGGCTGCAGCAATAGGGGGCTAAGAAGATAAGAAGCTTTCTCCTGCAGCTTAACCAAATACTTGGGTGTTTTGCTGCCTCAGGTCCCATAGCTGGTTCCAAGTAGAGGATATCTTCACAAATGGTACATGGGCATCCTCCTGTACATGCTAAGACCAATATGGTTTGAGGAAACATCATGCAGAGATGAGCTACAGTGCCAGAAGTGGTCGTAATGTGTTGTGATGGCTGGGGACCACGTGGCAACAATGTGCTGCTCCATGTGAGAGCTGCTTTATGCATCTCCTAGGGAAAGTATGCCACTTGTTTTGTGTTCTTTTTATGCAGATCGTGAGCTTGGAATAGTGAAAGAAATATTGTATAGATAAAACTTGTGTGCATACAAGTTTGAAAACTTGCTAAAAGATTCCTCTTATAAGATGCTAGGTTTAAACAGACATGGGATTACTTCCTTTCTCTATGTGACCTTGAAAGAATTATTGTTGGGATTTGTTTCTATTTTTCCAAGTGATAAGAACTGATTTTCATCTGTTCTGGTAGAGATGCTTGAGTCAAATACTTTTCACTGATTTTAACTCTTCTTCTAAGATTAGAGGTCAGA